CCGTGATTACTAATGGTGGTGAGCAGCGTTGCACGTATTTATTGGTCAGTTGGATGTCTTCTTTGGGGAGTGTAAGTTCGTATCCTGTGCCCACAATTTTATTGGGCTGTTTATTTTATGATTGAGTTTAAGAGTCCTGTATGTCTTCTGAATAAAAATCCTTTTGTCAAGAGATGCCATGGGAGTCTCCTCTTTTTGTCTGTCATCTGCCTTTCAGATTTCTTTGCCATTTTTTTTGAAGTCCAGAATATTTTAACTTTGATGAAATCAATTCATCAAGTTTCTATTTTCATAGTTAGTGCCTTACTGCCCTTGTGATTATTTTATTGGCCCGTGAGTCATCAAGTGGTTCGTCTTAGTTGACTGCTTTCTTCTTGGCTGTGGGTGACATTTTCCTGTTGTTGTTTTTTTTTTTTGGTATCTGCTAACTTTTTATTACTCGCTGTATGAGGGGCATATCCTGCAGACAGTCTCTCCTCTTTCACCCTCTGAGGAATGTTGGTATTTATCCTGGCGAGTAGCTCCCAGGATGTCAGTACCTCTCTGACATCACACAGTGTTAGAGGGTATTAGGGAACCCAAGTGTTCCCACACCCCACTGGCTCAGGGAGGTTCCCTTCCCGTACCGTCTCGGCTGAATCCTGTGAAGGCTTGAGTCTGCTCCGGGGGACTCTAAAGTGGGTCTTGCTTCAAGATGGCATCCTTACTCCTAAGGCAAGTCTTTCCGGTACCCAGCTGGGTTTCCGGGGAAAGGTGAGGCTCTGTACCCTGGCTGGATCACGTATTTTAGCAATGCTCGACCTTTGGAATCACATCCCACCCCCAATTTGGGGACCTCCCTTGGGTGCCTGGCCCGCGGCTTCCAGAAGCGTCAGTGTCCTGGACTCTGATCTCTGCTCAATGGGCCCAGCATGCTCCGAGGACCCCCACCTACCTGCTGCTCACCCAGCGGACCTTGTGGCTCCTTTCTGAGCCTCCTCTCTGAGGACTGTGGTCACACACGGCTGCCTATCCAGCACTGGTCAAGAGCCGCCTCAACTGTACCGTCCAAAAGTAATGGCCAACCCCGCGGGAGGGTCAGCCTGGTACCAGGAACGCCAACAGAGCTGGAAGCAGAATTTGCCTCAAGGTTCCCCCCCCCCAATATTTATTTATTTGGCTGTCCCAGGTCTTAGCTGCAGCATGCGGGATCTGCAGCACGTGAACTCTTAGTTTCAGCATGTGAGAGTCCCTGACCAGGGACTGAACCCACAACCCCTGTGCTGGAAGTACAGTCTTAGCCCCTGGACCACCAGGGAAGCTTCTGCCTTTCTTCAATAGAGTCACTAGACGTTATCCAGAACCCCCGAGCCAAAGGCAGACATCCCTGGACAGGAAAGTCCCCGGCAGGCAACAAGCAAGAGCGTGGGTCCCCCACGTTGGGGAAGAGCCAGGCCGGGCGCTGGCACCGGGTGGGAATGTCACGACAGGTGAGAGGCCATGGGGGGTGGGCTTTGCCGTACGGATCAGACCTCGCTCTGGGCGGAATTGTGCCTCCTGGCTTCATACGGTGTAAAAAGTGAAAGTGTTAGTTGCTCAGTCGTGTCTGACTCTTGGCGACCCTGTGCAGCTCTCCAGGCTCCTCTGTCCGTGGGATCGTCCAGGCAGGAGGACTGGAGTGGGTTGCCATTTCCCGTGGCGCACACGCAGACCCAGTTTCAGAGAACGGAGGCTGGTTCCCGGTCCCCTGGGGCCAACCTGCTGGAGAGCCACAGGGCCGGGCCGCGTGCTGGGGCCGGGGGGTGGGGGGTGGAGTGGGGGACTGAGCCCTGGGCCCTGCTGTGGGGCTGGGCGGCGATCCGCAGGCCCCTTTGAAGACGCCGCCCTCATTCTGGGCTAAGCTTAACAGGGAAAATTCCACCTAACAGCCAGCCCCACCTGACACATTGCATTTGGGTTTAATAAGAGCTGTTTCTCTCTTGGAGGTGGGATGAAACGTGGCCAGCCAAAGAATTTTAATCACTCACATAAACGGCACACAGTCTGCATTTTTTCCTCGGCCACCTTTATGTATTTATTTGATGTTCACCTTGGATGAGGCATGGGGGTCTGGGTGTGGACACATTTCCCCAGCCCGTGGGTCTCTGCAGGCTGGCCGTGGACGAGGGCTGGAGGCACCCGCTGAGGACCCAGAGCCGAGTGGGTCCCCGGGACCTTGTGTGGACGAGCCTTGCACCCGAGAGTGGAGGGGGCCGGGTGCCAGGCTTGGTGCTGGCTGGTTCACTCCATCTTCAGACCTCAAGGCAGCCCTGGGCTTTGGGGCCACGATCATCCTCCTTACAGGTGGGGAAACTGAGGCTTTGGGAGGCTGAGCACCCTGCCGAGTTCACGCAACTTCTGTGCTGGGCCCACCCCAAGGCCCGGGCCACCTCCAAACTCTGGGGTGGTTTCCCGGGCAACCACATGTCTGTCCCATGGGCCAGCCAGCTGTGATCAGGGGCCAGCCCTGCAGTGGCCACATCAGCCCTCAGTCCCTGGCAAGCGGGGCCCGCCCCACACCTTGTACTGGGGACTCCAGGCCTTCTGGACACAGCCTACGTCCCTTCCGGAGGGTCACCAGGGCTGAACCACATGAGCCCCAGCCCCTCCTTCTCCCCTCCAGGGATTTGCTACTCTCCCTGTATATCCTCACACCTGAAGTGTAGACACTTGAATGGTGACCTCCAAAAAGCCACGTCCAGGGATGTCCCTGATGGTCCAGGGGTTAAGACTTTGCCTTCCAGTGCAGAGGGTGAGGGTTGGGGAGTTAAGATCCTACATGGCTCCTGGACAGAAATCCAAAACATAAAACAGAAACAACACAATATTGTAACAAATTCAATAGAGACTATAAAAATGGTCTACCATCAGAAATAAGTCAGAGAAGGAGAAATATCGTATGACGTCCCTTATATGCAGAATCTGAAAAGAAATGATACAAATGAACTTACAAAACAGAAAGTATTAGTCGCTCAGCCGTGTCTGACCCTTTGCGACCCCATGGACTGCAGCCCGCCAGGGTCCTCTGTGCATGGGATTCTCCAGGCAAGAGTCCTGGAGTGGGTAGTCATTCTCTTCTCCGTAGCAGGTGGGTTCTTTACTGTCTGAGCTAACAGGGAAGCCCTACAAAACAAAAACAGAACCAAAGATTTAGAAAACAAACTTATGGTTGCTGTGGGGAAGGGATACTAAGGGAGTTGGGGAGGTCATATACATAGTGCTAAATTTAAAATGGATAACCAACAAAGACCTGTTGTATAGCACATGGAACTCTACTCAATACTATGTGCTGGCCTGGATGGGAGTGGGGCTTGGGGGAGAATGGATACATGTATATGTGTGGCTGAGTCCCTTTGCTGTTCACTTGAGACGACCATCAATTCAGTTCAGTGTAGTTGCTCAGTCGTGTCCAACTCTTTGCGACCTCATGGGCTGTAGCACACCAGGCTTCCCTGTCCATCACCAACTTCCGGAGCTTGCTCAAACTCTTGTTCATCGAGTCGGTGATGCCATCCAACCATCTCATCCTCTGTCGTCCCTTTCTCCTCCTGCCACTCTTTCCCAGCATCAGGGTCTTTTCCAATGAATCAGTTCTTCCCATCAGGTGGCCAAAGGATTGGAGTTTCAGCTTCAGCATCAGTCCTTCCAATGAATATTCAGGACTGATTTCCTTTAGGATGGACTGATTCGATCTCCTTGCAGTCCAAGGGACTCTCAAAAGTCTTCACCACCACAGTTCAAAACACCAATTCTTTGGCACTCAGCTTTCTTTACTGTCCAACTCTCACATCCATACATGACTACTGGAAAAATCATAGCTTTTGACTATACGGATCTTTCTTGGTAAAGTAATATCTCTGCTTTTTAATATGCTGTCTAGGTTGGTCATAGCTTTTCTTCCAAGGAGCAAGCGTCTTTTAATTTCATGGCTGCAGTCATCAACTGCAGTGACTACCATAGCATTGTTAATCAGCTATACCCCAATATAAAATAAAAAGTTTTAAAAAATGATTGAGACACAATTATTAATAAAAATAAGGAATTGGAATACAAAAAAATAACAACAAAAAATAAATTAAAAAATAAAGCTGTGTCTACATCTTAATCTGCATACCTGTGACCTTACTGGGGAAAGAGCTTTTGGGGATGTGATCAAGTGAAGGGTCTTGAGATAAGGTCGCCCTGCATTAGACTAAGTCCAAACAAGGGTCCTTCTAGGAGGAGGCAGAGAGAGACTGTATAGACAGAGAGGAGGAGGCCATGTGGCAACAAAGGCAGAGGCCGGAGGGATGCGGCCACAGCCCAGGGACGCCTGGAGCCCTAGAAGCTGAAAGAGACAGGAAGGATTCTCCCCCAGAGCCCTAGGAGGAAGCAGGGTCCCACCCACACCTTGATTCTGGACTTCCGGCCTCCAGATTGTGAGTGAAGACATTCTTATTGTTCAAATCACCCAGTCTCTGGTCATTTGTTATGGAAAGTGATGTGGAAGTGTTAGTTACTCAGTCGTGTCTGACTCTTCGCCACCTCTGTAGTCCGCCAGGCCCCTCTGTCCATGGGGTTCTCCAGGCAAGAATGCTGGAGTGGGTTGCCATCTCCTTCTTCAGGGGATCTTCCCGACTCAGGGATCGAACGCAGGTCTCCTGCATTGTAGGCAGATTCCTATGTGGAGTCAGTTGGGTGCCGTGCCAATGTGCGGGGTCTTCCGGTAGGGTCACCCAGAGCCCTGGGTCCCGGGGATGGGGGCGCAGCTTGACAAGCCAGTGGCTCCAGCTGGCTGGCCTGGGGTTTCTCTGGTGGCACGAGCAGGCCTGGGTCAGAGCAATTCTGCCTTGCTAATTCGTGGTGACACAGTTTGTCACCCTGCAAAAATGTGCATTCCCTTAAGGTCCTGCCCACCGTGGGGGCGACCCCGTGCCAGGCCCGTCAATACTCTCTTACTGAAGGTACATTTTGTTCCATGAACCTTTAGCATCTCATTGTACCAGCAAGTTAATGTGGTGCAGCGGGGACGTGAGGCTGGGGTCCTGGTTACACATGCGTCTCCCTCGAGACGGCTTGGACCCAGAGAGAGGCCTTATACCAAGCTGCCCCCTGCTCCCCTCAGCCGGGCGAGGGGCGAGGCTGGAGCAGGAGGGTGCAGGGCTGCCTGACTCCCACTCTGCAGAAGGTAGGGACCCCTCATGCCCCCGCCAGCCCACACTGGGGTAAGACATCGTCTCTAGAACCCCACCAGCCACACACCCTCTGCTGCCTGGGCCTACTTGATTGCCCCAAACCCTGCCAGTCACCCGTCCCAGGAAGTGTTCCCCAAGCAGACCCTGCGAGGGGGGTCCTGCGGGAGGGGTTTATTAGGAAGTGACCCTGGGCAGCAGGGCAGAGGGGGCAGGGAGCCCGGAAGCGGTGATTTTATGCAGAGTCCTGAGAGGGGCTCTGAGACGTGGGGGTCACACCTATCAAGGGCAAGGAGCTGGCGCGCCTGGACCCTTCCCGACCTGTCTGTCACTCTTCCAGGGGCTGACAATTCCCAGGGGCGCCCCCTGAGTGGGTATTGCTACCGGCAGCTGGAGTGTGGTCCTCTGACCAGAGAACACAGGAGCTGCCAGGGACACAGGGGTCAGAGGAGTACAGAGTCCACACGGCCACTCTGCCCTCCCTGCAGCTCTCCAGGCCCACCAGTCTGCCCGACCCCAGGGGTTAAGGACCCCAGACCTCAGATCACGTGGCGCCCACCTCACTTATGGCAGCACACAAGCTGGAGGAGGCTATGGGGAGGAAACGGAGGCTTAGTAAAATCCAAGGGGCTGCCCGGGGGCCCCACCAGCATGGGGAGCAGCAGGGCTCAAACCCAGCTCTCTAGGGCTCCTTCCCGCTGTGGCAGCTGGTGCCTGCCCCCCTCGGAAAGTGCCTATAGAACCTGGGAAATCATGGGCTGCCTCTCCATTTTGCAGTCAACTTCTGCCCCATGGCTCGGGAGTCAGGGCTCAGCGCCCTGCCCGCACAGCACAGCACTCAGCCCCCAGGCTCCATAGCCCTCCCACCCACCCACCCAGAGCCTGGCAGGGGAAAGTGGGTCAGGGCAGCCACAGGGAGGGCTGGGGAAGCCTGAGGGCCCGTCTCCAGGAACCCAGAACCCAGGCCCGTCTATCTGGCAGTGGCCCCGAGCCAGCCTCGCTGCTAAACATAGGTCTGTATGATCACCTTCCAGCCCCAGAAGGTAAAATAACAGCCATTTCGGGTTTCCCAAGACCTCCCTGGGGGCGCAGGACAAACTCGCTAAAATCCACAGGCTCTCTGTGAGATCCTGGCACCCTCCAGGTCTGGGGGAGGTGGAGGGGCAGCGTGCCCAGGTCCACCCACTCATTTATTCATCCAATCACTCATCCATCCATCCATCCATCCATCCATCCATCAGGCACTCATGCAGCAAATACTCACTGAGCACAGACAGGTCCTGGCTCTTCACACAGATCTGAATTAGCTCAGACGCTAAGGTGGGGGGTGGTGTCCAGAGATGAGAACCAGACTGGTGTCCTGTACTGGGGGCTGATCTGGCCTTGGGGTCCTGGAAATGCCTCCTGATGAAAGAGTAAGCTGAGAAGTACGGTGGGAAAGGAGAAGGAAGTTCTAGACGGAGTGACTGTGATGAGCCAAATTGTATCCCCCTCCTAAATTCATATGTTAGAGTCCTGACCGCCACTCCTTACTCAGAATGGGACCTTATTTGGATACAGGGTCTTTGCAGATGTTGGTTAGTCACTAAACTGTGTCTGACTCTTTTGGACCCCATGGACTGCAGCACACCAGGCTTCCCTGACCTTCACTCTCTCCTGGAACTTGCTCAGATTCATTTCCCTCAAGTCAGTGATGCCGTCTAACCATCTCATTCTCTGCCACACCCTTCTCCTCCTCCCCTCAGACTTTCCCAGCATCAGGGTCTTTTCCATTGAGGTGGTTCTTCACATCAGGTGGCCAAAGTAATGGAGCTTCAGCTTCAGTATCAGTCTTTCCAGTGGATATTCAGGATTGATTTCCTTTAGGATTGACTGGTTGAATCTCTTTGCAGTCCAAGGGACTCTCAAGAGTCTTCTCCAACACCACAGTTCGAAAGCATCAGTTCTTCAGCTCTCAGCCTTTTCTGTGGTCCAACTCTCACATTCGAATATGACTCCTGGAAAACCATAGCTTTGACTAGATGCACCAGATGTAATCTGGTTAAAATGAGGTTCTTAGGGTTGGCTCTGATCCAACAGGTGTGTGCACTCAGTCGTTCAGTTGTGTCTGACTCTTTTCTACCCCATGAGATTATCCAGGCAAGAATTCTGGCGTGGGCTGCCATTTCCTCCTCTAGGGAACCTTCCTGACCGAGGGATCAAACCCACATCCCCTGCATCGGCAGGCAGATTCTTTACCACTGAGCCACTTTGGAGGCAGCTAGACACTGAGACATCCAGAGGGAAGACCCTGTGAAGATATCCAAGGATGGAGGTCTGAGAAAGAAGAGGCCCTGCTGACACCTGGATCTTGGACTTCCAGCCTCCAGAACTGAGACAACACATCCCTATGGTTTTAGCCACATCGTCTATGATGGAAGCCCTACCACACTAGTACCTAGATGCTCCATGCGTTCTAGTGAGAAGGGCCTGGAGAGAGGGAAGGGCACAGCCCTTTGAGGAAATTGAAGTCCCCCGGCCCCAGTGAGACCAGTGGGCTTCCTGGGTGGTGCAGAGATAAAGAACCTGCCTGCCGATGCAGGAGATGCAAGAGACGTAGCTTCAGTCCCTGGGTGGGGCAGATCCCCTGGAGTAGGAAATGGCAGCCCTGTCCAGTATTCTTGCCTGGAGAATCCCATGGACAGAGGAGCCTGGGGCTACAGTCCATGGGGTCGCAGAGTCAGACCTGCCTGAGGGATGGAGCACAGTGACAAGAGTAAAGTGTGGATTTCATCCCAAATGCAACGGGGGTCCTCTCCTAGTTCGCTGAAATTGTTTCATTAAGAATGTGTACCAAATTTGAAGCAACATTTTCTCTATATTTAAAGTTCATGAAATTAAACTCTGTTTAGTTAATATTTTGAGTTATATTGATTGATTTTCAAATGTTCAGCCAAGCTTACACCCTACTTAGTCCTAATATGTTATTATTTTTATGCATTGTGAGATTTGACTAGCTAATATTTTTAAAGGATTTTTGTGTCTACATTTATGAAGAATGTTGGGCCACAATTTTAAGATCTTTTTCAGTTTTTTTTTAATATATTATTTTTGCTTTTTTCATTTTTTAATATTAGGATTCTGCTGGCCTTAAAATAAGTTGGCAATGTTTCCTTTACTTTCAAAAAAAAAATTGTGTATTAGTTTCTCTCTTCCTTGAGTGTTTGATAAAATTAACCAGTGAAGCCATGTAACTCTGGATATTCTTTTTTGGAAGATTTTAAAAAATATCATCAATAAATTTTGTTTACAGATATACAGCTATTCAGATTTTCCGTTTCTTCTTGTATCAATTTTTTTGTTTGAGTTTTCCTCAAATTTGTCCATTTCATTGAAATTTTTGAATTTGTTGATATAGAAATGTCCCTTTTCTATAGATATCCTTTATCTGTAGGATTTGTGATGATAATATTTTGCCACTTTCTGATATTGGTACTGATATTTACATCAGTCCATGTCTTCTTTTGCTTCAACAGTCAAGCTAGGAGTTTATCAATTTTGTTGATCTTCTCAAGGAAGCAGGCTTTGTCTTTGTCTTTTTCTCTGTTGTCTGTTCTTTATTTCATTGGTTTCTGTTCTTTTTATTTCCTTCTTTTTTCTTCATTTGGCTTTACTTTGCTCTTGTTTTTCTAGCTTCCCGAGGTGAATCAGTGGGTAATTTATTTTAGATTGTTTTTGTTTTCCAGCGTAAGTGTTTAAAGTTCTGAGCTCCCCTTGAATCAGGGCTTTTACTGCATCCCACAGATTTTAATATGGTAGATTTCCATTATCATTCAATTTGAATTACTTTCTAGTTTCCCTTGTGATTTCATCTTGAATTCATGAATCGTTTGTAGATTCATGAATCATTTATAGATATTTGGGATTTTCCTAGATGCCTTGTTATTAATTCCTAATTAGATTCAGTTGTGGTCAGAGATGACACTCTGCATACTTTCCATCCTTTAAGAGTTACTGAGACTTGTTTTATGGCCAAGCATATGGTCTATCTTGGTGAATGTGCATTTGAAAGGAGTGTGTTCCCTGCAGTTGCTGGGTGTAGTGTTTCATAAACACCAATTAGATCAAAGTGACTAATAGTGTTGTTTGTACCGTTCATATCTTTGGTGGGTTTTTTTTTGGTATATTTGTTTAATTAATTGCTGAGAGAGGTGTTAAAATCTCCCTTTATGATTGTGAACTTGTCTAATTCTTCCATTTACCCTGTCAATTTCATTTCATGTGTTTTGAGGCTCTATTACTAGGTAGATAAAAATGTAAAATTATTTTATCTTCCTGATTTATCATCTCTGCTATTGTAGTAAAATGTCTCTATCTCTGATAATACTCTTTTTCTTAAAGTCTACTGTTTAGTATAAATTTTAATTAATATTAATATGTCACTGGCCACCTTATGATTATTATTTTTAGTTGATTTACTTCCAACTTATTTGTGTCACTATATTTAAAATCAGGGAATTCCCTGGTAGTCCAGTGGTTTGGATTCCATGTTTTCACTGTGGACAGCATGGGTTCAGTCCTTGGTGGGAGACCTAAGATCCTGCAAGCCTCACTGCAAGGCCAAAAGACAACCAAACAAAACCCAAAAAAGCCTCTTTAAAAAATCTGTTTAAAAAATGAATCTCTTGTTGGTAGAACATAATTGAGTCTTAATATTTTTAAATCCATTTGATCAATTTCCTATTTTTATGTAATTAGAGTGTTTAGAATTAACACTATCAGTCCTTTCTAATTTTTTTTCCTCTGTCCTGACTTCTCTGCATGCTTCTGGATTATTTGAATATATTTAGTATTCACTTTCAAGCTATCTATGGACTTTCTGGCTA